CAGTTAAGGATTAGGGCAGCTATTTCTCAACAACTCAAAGTAAAACCACACATTCCCAGTAGGTTTTCTTTTGCATACAACTACTTGACCTCATCGCCTGTGCGTTCCCTGGCCCCAACTGCAAAAACCCCTATTACCAGCGGTCCCATAGTACAGGTAGCTGGGGTTTGTTTATCTCAGGCGCGGTTACATAACCACATCTGACCTTAAATTCAGCTAATTAATCGCACTATGGAACGACAACATGAATGTGCTTGAACTAGCACTTGCAATGGCATTCCACCGTTCAAATCAAGAAATCAAAGAATTGTTGTAGACGCTGGGGGAGGGTGAACTGGAAACCCTTTCGTTTAGATGAGTGCGTATAGTCAAGGGCATTAGAAGCAATAAAGTTGAAAGACAAAAAAACGGAGCTTACAAAGTAGTACGAAGTACCCGCCGATGATGACATTACTTGCGTAGTACTGGCATTGGACACCGTTTGTTGAGGCGGTCTCGACGGTGAAGGGGGCAGGGTCGACTTCTTAGAGCGTCCACGATCGGTTGATCGACTGGAGGCCGGACTGACATCCGTCGTTGAGGCCTTTCGTGAAGTGCCATGTTTCTTGCTAGAGGACAGAGATGAGGAAACTGAACGCGCAGGCTTCGTCTGCCCGGAGGTCTTGGACTCAAATTCGTCCTCTTCCTCCTCCTCCGCCATCTCATCGTCGTCATCATCATCATCGGTGAAGACGGAGTCCACACGAGCACGGCGCCCTGTGGGTCTCTGAAAATTGCCGGCTGTACTGGTGCTGGTCGGCGGGGGGATAACATCCAGAACTGGCGGTGGCGGAAGCGGTGATAAGGTCCTGCTACCGCTATTAGCAGCGGCGGGGGACTCCTTTTGCGATTTGTGTGAAGTGGAGGCCTTGTGTCTGCTGGACCGTCGGTGTTTTGAAGAGTGTCGGGAGTGCGAACGAGTGGTAGGCGATCTGGGTTCTGTTCACAGGACCGAAAGCAAGACATCAGCAGCGTTATCAGGGGGCCAGGGTGAAGAGTCACAGACGCTGAAATCGGGCTGCCAAACCCGAGTATTCATGAGGTCATCTGGGATGCACTAACATACGATGAGGGAATTCAATTCGCCTGTGTGGCCCACTGGATCTAGAACGGTGGGAATAAACCTGCCTGCTAGCGCCTGGCAGCTTGATGCTAGTGGGCGCGTCCACAGGTAGCGGATGCTGAAACGGCTATCAGCGAAGATCAACTGTCAAATAACCGCATGCTAGAAGCTCAAATTTTGGTGCGCGTGTGGCTAGTGATCTGATTGGCTGAGGGGGCATGGCCTGTGCGAGTACTGCCACACCCCCGCCGGTGTTTACGCCCACGAATTTTGCGCGTTTGCATGCGCACGCCTGCATGCACCGGCCGTCCATCTCAGTCGGTAGCAGAGGGGAGACGACAGGGTCTGGGGGGGGGGGAGGAGGAGGTAGATTGATACAGCACTATTTCGGGCTTGTTTGCCTTCATTGGGCCAATCATAACCCTGACCACCAGCTGGGACCGGAAACACGAACATGCGCACAGACGCACCTGGCGCAGCTGGTCCACCACTGGGGTCTACCAGATGGGTAATAAGCACTTCGTCGAACCGAAGTTCATCAGCGCCTCGCCACCTGCCATTCTCTGTCGCTGCAGATCGGAGATTTATTCATTCAGGAATGGGCGCACACCGATCCATTGGCTTCCCGAAGCAAACAAGCTTCGTATGGGCGATAGGGCTCACGAACAGGCAACCACCTGCCAGACCCTCTGCTATCATAGCTTGGCCGACTTCGGACTGGTAGGTGGTTGCCTGTTCGTGACCCCTATCGCCCATACGAAGCTTGTTTGCTTCGGGAAGGCAATGGATCGGTGGGCGCCCATTCCTGAGTAAATCTCAGTCGGCTCCAGCCAACGCGCGAAATCAAGGTCCGCATGCGTGCGTATGAACACGACTGAACTAGCGCGACGCGGCGCGTAAAATTCATGCCTAAGTGCGCGTGTGCTTCAATGGGGCCCCGGACGCCAGTCACGTGAAAGGACTGCCGGGGGGATTGCACCCGCAAACACCACTGACGGTAGCGGTAGGGTGTAGGACCCCCAAAATATATACGAAAATTCACTGTTACCGTACACATCACTTATTATTCGCAGTTCCTATTGTTTGAAATTCCCTTCGCTTGAAGAAGGAGACACGATCGCTGGGACAAGAGCTTTATTAGCCTGTCGTTTCGGATTCCTGCTCGGACACATCATCAGAGATAAAAGCAGATACGGGGGCTTTTGACTCTAATGATGTGTCCGAGCAGGAATCCGAAACGACAGGCTGGCCATAACTCACCATCGCCGGGTTTAGTGCCTGGAGCAGCAGCAGTGGTCGAAGAAGACTGCAGGAGGGGCAGCAGAGGCGGGAGCGAGGGCAGAGCTGATGACTGCTCCAAATCGTGAAGCGGTTCAGCAGCGGCAGAGGCACAGGCTTCCAGCTGCGGTGGCGGTGGCAGAGGTTGCTCATCACCACCGCCACCACTGCCACGCAACGACGCCGGCAAATCCTGACGAGTCGGCAGGCGGTCGAGACTGGGCGGTGGGAGAATTGGCGGTTGACGGGGCCCAGTGGCCAGCCGATGAACACCGTCAGAGGAGTTTAGACCACTGGTGGTGCCCGAGGAGGTGGAAGGCGACGAGGAGGGTGACGAAGAAGAGGAGGATGCACTCAGACTGCTGATACTGCTGCCGCGCAGGCGATCAGGTCCTCGTCGGTGGTGCGAGAAGGGCTGGTGGGAGGAGAGACTTAAATGAAGAGGCGGGAGGACGGGAGGCTGCGGTTGCTGAGCACTGGTCGACTCGCTGGCCGCTGATTCTGCCACGGAGGGAGGCTTCGGTGGGCTGAGAGAGCGAACTATGCTGAGGTTGGACTCTGAGTTGCCGAAACGGATGACGCTGGCGATGTAAAAACAAAAACAACCAGATATGAGAGAATCTAGTATTCAAATCCAAGCTGTTGGGAACATTGGACGACCTGCTGGCAGGAGAGAACGCAGGTGGCTGACACGGAGAAAACTTGCACCTCGATGTGTAGGTTCATAACGTGCACTGGCCAGGGTCTTATACACCAGGAAAAAAGGGGGTGGCTTAGGTCCCAACTACCGCGGTGTGGGCCTCTGGCTGGGCCTATCGTCACCCCCCCCCCCCCCCCCCCCCC